CAATAATGGTCTATCAAGAAGTCATTTAAGTTCTATAGAGAATAATTAATATTAATAAATTTGGCAATTAAAAAATTATTAATTAATAAGTATTTTATTTAAAAAGCCTCCAGGCGCCGTTCAGACCGTCGGTTGCCAAGTTAGTAGTTGAGTTTAATAGATTTTCAAACAATTATTGGATTTAATGTAAAATATGGTAAACTATATTATGCGAAGACTTTTATAGTCCTAAATCAAAGCAGAAGTCGTTCGCGGAGAAATGAAAGTTTCGAGTCATCACAAAACAAGCCCAAAGGCAAAGAACCATGACGAAGAGTAATTGCTGTAATGGGAAAGCAGCCAGACATTTGTTCAGAGGGGGCGGAGTCAATATGATATTAAACAATATTTCGCAACAGCTGTTATCACGGTCAGATTATATTGTGAAAGTACAGTACAGAAGTAGAACACCATACTACAGTATAGCAGTAGCATTAGCGTAGCATCAGTACAGAAGCAATTAGCAGCAGCAGTAGCAGTAGCAGCAGTAGCATTAGCAGAGCTTAGCAGTAGCATTAGCATAGCATCATAGCAGTACATTATCAGCAGTAGCAGTACATTAGTAGCAGTAGCAGTAGCATTAGCGGTAGTAGCAATGCATTTAGCATTAGCAGCAGCAGCATAAAACCCATTACAGATGTCTTACTGCAGCTTTAACCACAAAATACATATCATGAGTAGCCTGGATGTGTCAAAAACCACCTCAATCGTTCCAGGCCCGTGCTCCTGAGTCTCTGGCGACGCTCACTCGAGTGCTCGGTCCACTCTAGGTTCCACTCACTTTGAGATTTGTTTGGAATGTGGGGGAAAAAAGGGAGCGAGATGTTTTGGCCCGTGGCCACGTGCAGACAGGAAATAACATGGCCAGACAACTCGAGTACTTCCCTGTGTGGTGAGGAACCAATCCAGATGTGGGAGAGAAGGGAGGAGAGCGATAGGAAAGAGGAGAGGGCGAGAGAGAGAGAGAGAGATAGGAGAGGAGAGAGAGACAGAGAAAAAAGAAGAGAGGAAGAAGAGAAGAGAGAGCGGGAGAGAGAAAGAAGAGAGAGAGTGAGAGAGAAAGAGAAGGGAGAGAGAGAGGAGAGGGGATAGAAGAGAGAAAGAAGAGGCGGAGAGAGGAAAGAAGAGAGAGGATGAGAGAGTAAGAGAAGGGAGAGGTGAGGGGGATAGAGAAGGAAAGACAGGGAGGGGAGAGGAGGAGACACAGAGAAAAAAGAGAGAGGAAATGAGGGGGGGGGAGAGGAAAGAGACAAGAGAGGGAAGAGGGAGGAGAAAGGGAGGGAGGAGGAAGTAGGGGCGGAAGAGAAAGGAAGAGAAGGGAGTGAGAAGAGAAAGAGAAAGGGAAGGAGAATGATGAAGAAGAGGGAGGAAAGAGGAGAGAGAGGAAGAAAAAGGAAGAGAGAGAGGAATGAGGAGAAAAAATAGAAGGGAGAGGATAGAATGAGAGAGAGGAGAAGAGGGCCTGCTGGCAACGCAAAGCTACACACGCATGCATGAATCTAATGTGGAGAGAGCGGGGTCCAGATCCACAGTGAATTAAAGGTGAGGCCCTGTAAGGTTCAATTAGAATTTGATTATTAACATATTTTGCACCACAAATGACGTTAAATAATGCATCATTTTATAAGGCACTTTTTGGTCTCCCATCCACAGAACCAACCGGCCCTGCCCTGCTTAGCCTCACTGTCTTAAATTGTCCACAAGGCCAGAAGGAAAATGGTAATTAAAAAAGTAAAAAATCATCGAGAGCAAGGAAAGCTCATGTGTCCCTCAGCAATTTTGTTGAAATAGCAGCTGTTTTTGTTTCGGGCTCTGTGTAAGGCAATGAGCTCATTCATTTTTAATGGAACGCTGTCATAACTCCACACACGGAAACTTACTGAGCTCAAATTTGTATTGAAGAAGTCCCGCATTGTCTTAGTTACTAAAAGACTTGTCACCTGTATAGAATCTCAATATTGATCAAAAAACAATATACTGTACATCAGATATGTGTAGTGGCATGAGAGCCTTAAAATAAACAGGAAAACAAATCTATGGTGTCCGCCATGGGCGCCGCTCGCTGGTCTGCACTTTGGGCTCGTTGACTGGCTCTCTTTGGTCCTCGCCTTTGGTCTCACTCTTTTGGTCTCTCTCAGGTCTCACTCTTTGGTCTCTCTCTGGTCTCACTCTTTGGTCACTCTCTGGTCTCCTCTTTGGTCTCACTCTGTCTCCCTCTTGGTGGTCTTCGGGTCTCACGCTTTGGTGTCTTTCTGGCTCCCGCTTTGGTCTCTCTCTGTCTCTCTCTGGTCGCTCTTTTGTCTCTCTTCGGTCTCTCTCTGTCTCGTCTCTGGTTGTTCTCTTTGGGCTCTCTCTGGTCTCTCTCGGGTCTCGTCTCTGTGTTCTTTGGGTCTCTTTTTATAATAACTTTTATGGATCCAACACTTATGGCCTTTACACTTTATGGATCCTCACTTTAATGGCCAACACTTTTCACTTTATGGATCCTATTCACTTTAATGGCCAACACTTTTCACTTTATGGATCCTCACTTATGGCCAACACTTTATGGATCCTACACTTATGGCCTTTTCACTTTATGGATCCTATTCACTTTAATGGCCAACACTTTTCACTTTATGGATCCTCACTTATGGCCAACAATTTTCACTTTATGGATCCTCACTTATGGCCAACACTTTTCACTTATTTGAACACAATTTAGAGAGTTCGACAGACCTCAAAAACAGACCAAAATTTAGCTAGTATCCAATTATGCAGACTTTACATATAAAAAGGTGTCTGCTTACCTTATTCTTGTCAAACAGGTGCATGCACGGACTGTCTGAGAGGTCTGCCAACCTCTTTTCCGCGTCGGAATATTCAATTTAAAAAAACAAAAGTGACAGAAGCGACAAGAAGCATCCAAGAACAGCTCTTCCAGCCTGCTGGAATCTCCGCTCCCAGACACAGCATGCCGGTCTCTCACGCAGAGGAAAAGAAACAAAGCAAACTCCCCCAAAACAATCCAGAGAATGGCACAAACCGAGCCGCGCATTCTCCACCAAATCTGTTAGGATTTAGCAGACAGAGACGGATCGTGGTGTGCCAAACTCTGGAAGTTTATTTAAGTTTCTCTCAAGTTCCACTGGTTTACTCTGTTTCTTTCTCTCAGACAGAATAAAGGCAGTACACAGTTTATATAGTTTATATAGTTCATTGTCACGTCACACATCGAAAGACATACGTGTCACAAAGAGACAGTCAAATCATAGTCATAACATGGAGTCCTTGTAGAGTCCTTGTAGAGTCCTGCACGTAGGCCATATTGCTATCTAATACTAATACCGGTTTTACTGTAAATGGCAAAACAAATTCTTGAATCTTGAGTAGAAATAAAACGCCCTGATTTGTATGTATTTTGATCTCCATTAGCTGTTCAAAACAACTATTCTTCCTGGAGTCAAGCAAAGTATATTAACAAAAATACATGACAATAATCATACTAAAATAAAAACTAACAAAAAAATGATGCCAAACGTCAATATATTTGTATTGTTTGACCAGAGAGAAAATGTATGATGGACTCACTGACGAGTTGAATTGGGCTAAACTAAAACCCTTCAACTTTATACTTGTAATGACGGCGTCTCTGGCATGGGTCGTTGTCATGGAGACGCAGAGTGTAAATAACAGCTGTTGGGGCGCTCTCACTAACTCATCTGTGTTTAAGGCCAAAGCTGTGGTTAATACACTAAGCGGCAGGACACATGTCTAACACAAGTTTGTTGACACTTTTCCAGTTCCGAAAACCGTGGTAAACAAACACGTTGTGAAGCATGGCTCGTGCCCTTTACACCCAGTAGGACCTGCCCCTGCTGCCTGGAGGCAACACCACATTCACCACTGAAATTATGATCAAAGACTGTGATATTCTCACTTTCGTCCATGTGGGACTAAATCAGCCAATCAGAGCCACTTCTGTCCGCTGAAGCTTAAAGGAGAGATATGACACAAATTATGATGAGACGGTTTACTGTGGTGTGTTGTCAAAAATTCCCTTTGACGGACGTGTTCGAAGTTGATGCAGAAGTAAGGCAAAAGATCTCCAAGTTTAACATCTGTATTTAATTTATCGTTACAATCAGATACATTCAACAAGAGAGCTCCTAAAACTATCCATGTCCCTCTCTGGCCCTGTGCTCACTCCCCGCCCCCGCCTCAAGCCAGAGCATATCAGGAGAGGTCCAGGAAGAAGGGGGCGTGTCGTATCAGGCAGCTTCCGGTCTGAGATCCGCCTCGCACCATCTGGCCTCCTCCGTCTCGCCAGACCTAAACAGAAATCATTCACACACACTACCCCTCCCTAATTCTATAGAAATATTACTTCCTTGAGATAAGACAGGAGACTCTCAAGGCTGTCCCTCCAGATTCTGGGTCCATCTCCTTCTCCAAACAACGGAAAAGATTAACAGAATCTAGGACTGCAGATCCCCCTTGGCCTGAGATTAACTATCATTAATTTACCCTGCACTTTGGACAAAAATGGGACAAGGGGAGAAGAGCAATACAAGGTCTTTTTTGGCTTGGAAAAAGACAGAGTTCAATTCTGGGTCAATCAAATTCACATCTGCTTTTAGTCTATATTTATGATACAACAGGTGTCATGTTCTAGAATGTGAGATATCTTTCTGACTGTAACTCCCTACGCTGCCACCAGAGAGAGCAGTGTCAACAGTCAGAGCTCCTTGTAACTCCCTATAATATACCACCAGAGGGTCAATCTGGTCTCTCTCTCTGTTCTCTCTCTGCTCGCTCTCTAATGTCAGGGTCAAAGTCAGGTCCAAACATCACACAAACACAAACTGTTCATAAAAATATTAAACTTTATTTTATTAAAACTTTTTGATGCAATCTGTCTGCATTTGTATCAGCACCAAATCCTCCTCTCTGCTTATTGGCTCTCAGTCAGACGGGCAGGCTCAGTTAATTGGCTCATATGTGGAGGAGGCGGGACCAGTCAGGTGACGGACACACACACAAGCTCCGCCAAGCAGTAATAGCAGCAGTGGTGAGCCCAGACCCACAAGCAGAACAGACCAGACCAGGACTGAAAACTGGTCCAGAGGAGGGTCCCCGATACCAACAAGGAGAGTCCTGAAAGGAGCAAGAACCGGGTTTAAAGACCAGAGAGGGACCAGAGAGAGATCAGAGAAAGACACCAGAAAGAGAGACCAGAGGATAGAGAGACCAGAGAGAGAGAAAAGAAAGAGACCAGCTCGACTCACCAGCTCATAAAGTCCTTGTAGAACGGTTCTCCGCTCAGCCCAAAGCTGATGTTCATTGCTATAGTCTTTGTATTGTTGCCATAGTAACCAAGAACCAGCCCTGACGTGGTCGCCGCGGAGACCGGGTCCTGGTGCTGGGGATACCAGTGCGTAAGGGGCGTGGCCACCTCCAGCCTCGCTGAGCGGTCACGGTAAGCCACAGGCTTCCACTGCACAAAGGAGAGCGAGGAGTTGGACCTCCACTGGGACACCTGCAGGAGGAGGAGGAGGTCAGGGAGGAGGCAGAGGTACAATAAAAACAGAGTTATATGTAATTTTACTCCCACTTCAGTCTCTGAGGACAGATACACAGTGGGTCGGTCCTCAGCAATATATAGAGATAACTATGTATAAATGCACATGTATATTATTGAATGTATATATATATATATATATATATATATATAAAATATATGTAATGTGTATTTAGACACTTATTTCAGATAAAAAAATTAAATAAAATGTTACCGTGAAAATAGAGGGTGTGTACTCGTCGTCGATGGAGCGCACTGATTGAACAGTCTCTAGCGGAGCCCCGCTCACTGTCCTCAGCTCCAAAAGGAAGCGGGAGTGGGCGGTCCTCGGGGTCAGACCGTCCAACCAGAACTTGAGCTGGGCAGAGTCACTGTTGTGGAGGAGGCGTGGCCATAGCTCGTCCCGCCCCCATTCCTCAAAGACGGACAGCTGTCAGTCACACACAAAGCTAATTATTATTAGAGTAATAATTGATGATTATAATTATATTATACTATTATGACATAAGGGCTAGTAATAATAAAATAATTATGTTATTGTAATCCGGTTGACTGCGATGGCATGTGTGTGATTTGTTTTTATTGCATGTTTGGTTTGCAGTGTTTTTTCTGTTTTTTTTTTTTCATTATGCCTCTTAGTCACCATGGTTACCCCACACACCTGACTGCCCCAACAGATTGTCATCAGTACATCTGTGTCTGGGGGAGGTATAAAAATGACAGGCCATGCAGCGGGCAAGAAAAGGCAGAACGGGCGTGCGGAGCTAGAGTTAGAGGGCAGAGTGGTGGAAGAGAGCCCTGGAGGAGAGACCAGCGCGCACAAGGCCAGCAACACGGCACCCACGCTCAGAACCCCCACACCACAACGCCGACTACATGTAGAGGCGGGGCATTTGGACCCTACCCTGCCCTGCCGATGAGTGATGGTGCGTTCAGACCGCCGACGCTGGAATGCAGCTTCCGCGCCCCAGATGCACCTTCTCTAAAATTTCAGACGCAGGGGTGTTCAGACCAGAAGTCCTGGCCTGCCGTGGCGCCCGCCGGAAGTGGCGAAAGTAGCGGGCGGACTTTGATGCTAACGGAGTTAAGCTATCAGCGTCTTGTGTAAAGTTCTTCTCCAATAATGCAGCTCTGCAGTGTCTCTGTGTTCAGAGACCTTCCACAGACTTTATATAACAGCAGTATGTGTTCACAGAGGTGTGCCATACGTTTATTTTATTATTAAACGGTACTTAAACGGCGAACACACTCGAAGCAGTTGCATAAAGTAATGGGAGCATGAAAACGCATATGTTCACAAGCACAGAGTCCCCCATTGTCAACCCTGAGTATGTTCAGTCTGCTCGCTCAGACCACTAATGTATCCGTGACCACTTTGCGGCTCTCTGATTGGTCGCTGCACGAGCGTCAGAGGAAACGCTCAGTAAAATATATCTGTGTGCGTCAATTTTCCGCTCCTGTACCTCCCCCGCGACTTTGCCACGCAGTCCGTGCGTCTCTACCGAGCAGTCCGTGCGTGCATTCCGATGCTCAAACGTGCGTCCCCATTGACTTTGCATTGAAAGTTGCCCGCTGAAAGATCAAGGCTATGCTCACAGTCAGAGAGCAGCCGTCCTCCTGTGGACTCACCACCTGCAGAGGGTCAGTGAGGGGCTGGTGCTATGAGACTTGGGTGGCATCTCTGATTGCCACCCCCCTGACCCAGAAATGGATTAAAGGGTAGAAAATGGATGAAAGTTGCCGCAACGCACGATCTGGTCTGAACGCGGCATTAGTGCTGGACTCCACCGGCCGCGTCTCCGTTTACGAGCGTAGGCTGCTGCCCGTTAGACGTGCATAAAACGAAACAGTGGCCACACCGGCTTCAGCAGCGAGCAGCTCTAACTGTGTGATTATCAGCAAAGCTGCCCAACCTCCCCCCCCGTGTTTAGGGCTTTGTTTTAACTCAGACCACTCAAATTAAAGAAGCGGTGTGTGATTTGCATGAGATGTGGCTATGATCTGTGCAAAGCAGGGCACTAGAGAAGCACCAAGGAAGTTGCGATGGATGAGGCAAAACTTATTGAAAGCAATTGGTAAAAAGAGGTGGCGAGAGAAAAGAACTCAAACATATCCAGGCTGTCAATACGCAAAAAACCCCCAGCAGATTTACAATCAGGAAATAATTATTTCAATTTAATACATGAAAAGAAATTACACACATTTGTTCATAATCATTGTCATTAACAAACACTTATAACCAAGGACTACAAGCATATATCGATACATGTATAATAATGTAGTAAATATATTTTTTCTCTGTATTTCCAATGTAAATTTCTCATGTGTGAGACCAATAAAGTCTATCTTATCTTATCTTAAAACGGACCATACGCACGTCAACGTATGTAAAAAACAGGATTGTTTCTATTTCTTCCGTCCGCTTCCGTTGCACCCCGCGTGGAAGCACTGCTCCCTACGTGAGTCACACGGACGCATGTTTCGGGGAGTGGAGCCACTTCCATTAACCCTTATGGAGAAAACGGAAACGTAGATGAAACAGACACGTTTGGACAGATACGTGGTCCTTTTTACGCAGCCGGTTCGAGTCGGGGCCTTGCGCAACAATGTAGACGTGGTGTCAAGTCGGTGGCAGCCTTGGGCTGTAGGAGGTCCCGGGTGCTGTGCGTGGCTGGCCCGTGTGTGTGCTGTGTGTCAGGGCTGGGGCTTGCCGTTGGACGCCCGGGATGTGTGGAGCAGAGAAACATGTCGGGCTGGAAGAGAGGCGAGGGACTGGACGCTGCGAGCACCAACAGTGAGCACTACCAGCAAGTGAAGACAGATTGTGCAGCGGGAGAGTTGGGAGCTCTCCCACCCCGTGAGTACCGCTCAGACGCTATAGTTCCCGCTGCACTAAGCAGCTTTAGGCCTGGGCTTCCTGGTGTGTGTGAGCGGGAGAGCAGCCCCTTTTGCCTCTCTGTCTAGGTGCGGTGCCAGCGGCTGCGCAGCGCGGGACCTGCCCGAAACGGACGCCAGAGGAATGCTGTCCTCCCTCCCTCGGGGATTGGACCCTCTCCAATGCCCCGGTGATCCAAGATGGCACCCTATTCAAATGAATGGCTCAGTAGCGCATGGGACTTCACAGAGACCGAAAGATTGGCAGAACTCACCTATATTTGGGCATCGTCTGGTCCTCCCGGTTCTGCGCAGTGGACGAGCTCCTATGATGCGTTGCGCCAAATACGTGTGTGTGGCTTTCATGCACGTGCACAGAGGGGCTCGGCCGAGCCAGAGCGGGAAGGAAAGGAGCAGAGTGTGTGGCAGCAAAGTCTGGATTTTAAAAAACCCGAATGATGTAAGAAGAAAGAAAGATGACAAGGGACACTAAAATCACCAAAAAATCCAACCTTTATGAAAGCTGTAGGGTTTTCTGTCAGCTGAGGTCAAACTGTTTTAATTAACACGGGTAGCCCACGTGAATTTAGACTGCAGTATCACGGGCGCCCCCTGTGCCCATGGGTGGGACAGCTATAAGCTAGTAATACCCATTGATCTATTATAATAACTGGATAAGGTATTGTGAGATTTCATAACACTTTTAAGCAACTTTTGTTAAAGTTAAACTCATCATTCTATCAATGTGCAGAAGCCAGTACTTTTCCCTTGTTTTGTCTATCTGAAGGCCAAGCTACATGGCACCGTGGCAGCTGCTGATTGGAGGTCTCCATGCCTCCGCTCTGTATAATACACTTGCATTCTGTTGTCCGTGTTGTTCGTGCTGTCTCTACCATCGACAATAAAACATGTCTTCTGTCTGAATTAAAGACGCGATCCCAGAGTCATCTTCTTCAGGTGGTGGAGGATGCGGGCCTTGTCTGTAACATCTAGTGAACAGAAGACTTTTTTTTTTACACAAAAATGTGTTTTTTTTCAAGCCAAAACTGAGAGACCTCAAGAGAAACCATGCATCTGGATCAGCACTTGGACTATCTGCACAGCCCCTGATTCCAGTCAGACTGTGAGCGGCTGCGACATGGACAATACCATCGTCCCCTTTTGCATGGACATGATTTGGAACAATTGGATTTCTGAATTTGGACATCATTTGGACTGAATTGAATTGCTGAATCTGGACACTGAAGCTGAAACGTGTGATTGAAAGACACGTCACAGAAGAATTCATGGCTCGACACAAATGCAGCCTGAAGAACCAACAGGAGAAGTGGGAGAGACTGTTTTCAAAGCAATATCTGGAACCATCGACTGATGAAGTTTGGTATTTTACTGAAGATTGTTGACAAGTTTTATGAAAGATCTGAACATGTTTTATGAGTTTTTGAAGTACCGAGTGAAGCAGTGGCGGCCGGTCAATAGAGGGCGCTAGGGCGCCGCCCCACCACTCACAACTTGCCATGTTACCTTGAATAAAACGTTAAAAAAAATTATAACATTAAAATATTTCGAAATGTATGTGTGTTTTATTTCAGATGTGGAAGAAATACTTTATAGTTTATGCTGAGTTGGATTGATTAAGCTCATCAGCGTTGTCTGTGTCGGACTGAGGACGTATTTCCGCCGTCTATGGACTCTCGTTAAAAGTTGTACATGCGCAGTAGCTCCTCTTCAATGCAAGAGATAAGACGATTTGGGGGCGCAGGAGAAGTGCGCCCTGAGGGGGCGGGATCGCCCGCGACCTGTACTGTCACTGTCTGTGACGTCCGTTTACAGTGATTGACAGGTCAAGCTGTGGGAGTTTGAGACGAACGTAAAGAGACGCAAAATGGAGAACGAGAAAAAGAATAATTCAGTTAGATCACTCAAAACAATACCGTTTGAGAGAAGATCATACCAGGAGAAGGTTGAGGTTAAAGAGCTTGGACCTGATCAGCCAAATATTACCATTAGTCAGCAGTCCAGCGACAGGGGGAGACGGTACACTCGTACTTTTTCCAGGACCTGGTTCAGCGCCAAATCTTGGCTAGCAGCATGTAGCGAGGCTAATGCTTTATTTTGCTTTCCATGCCTCTTGTTTTCAAACATCAGGATCTGACCCAGCATGGATCAAGACAGGTATGACTGATCTGAAGCACTTTTTAGAAAAGGCAAAGAAGCATGAGCAGACTGGTATCCACATGCAAAATGCCCTCAAATTAGCTATGTTTGGGAAGATAAATATTTCATCCCAGCTGGATGAAAGCTACAGGGTAGGGATCAGAAAGCACAATGAGGAGGTTGACAAGAATAGGCACATCCTATCAAAAATAATAGACTGTGTCAAATTCTGTGGTGCATTTATATCTAGTCATCATATTCATAGCCCCCCCAGTGGAAAATTCCACCAGCCGCCACTGGAGTGAAGTACTAAGTTTATGAGTTTAAGTATTGAGTTATGATGTTATGTTGCTGTTTATCAATCCTGATGGTCACACGTGAATGTGTGACCAGAGGTGG